TTTGAGACACCGAATGGCAAACCTCAGCCATGTCTTGTTTTTATCAGATTAGAGCATCTTGCAGGCCTCCACTGAAAGTAATCCTTAGTGTTTTCCATAACATCTGTAGCATGTATGAGTACTGCATGTATTCCAGCTACTTTTGCTTCCTTTAGGGGAGGGAAACAACAAATTATTTTTCTGTAGTGCTGCTCAGAATTTTTTTACTCACAATTTTGGTGTGATTTTTATTATAAACTTAAGTAACAACTTGGACTAAATTAAAACAAGCAAACAAAAAAACATCAATCAGCAAGCGCAGTTTGCCTGAAGGGACAATAGAAAGAAAAAGAAGCTAATTTTCAGAGGGTGTAGTGTGAGTCTGTTTTAAGTTAATTTTCTTGCAATAGCAAAATAAGTGTTTGACTTAATTCAGAATCTTCTTACGTTCATATAATTTCTAGAAAATAAGTTTGTTTGTTTTGTATGTGATACAGGGTGGATGTCATTGTCCTGATGGGAGCCCGGTAAGTATTCTTTGTCTTTCTATAACTTTCAGAGTAATGTGTAACTAGGAAGTTCCCAAGGAACTACCTTTCTCCAATTAACTTTTTCCAGGAATTTATGCAAGTGCAACCTGTTTAAAAAATTAGAGTTATTGTCCTGTTTCTGCTCACTTAGTACGTGGAAATTGGACTAGATGGCTTTCAGAGATCCCTTCCAACTCAAAGGATGCTATGATTCTGTATTTGTCATACTTTTGTAAATATAAAAAATAAAACAACATACCTGCCTTGTTGAAATTTTCAGTTATCTTTTGTCAAAATTTATTCCCTTTCTCAGATTATGAAATCAAGCAAGAACATGCCATGATTATACCACCGAGTATTAGAATTGTTGAAAACAGCGCATAAACTGTCAGCTTATTTCTTTTTGCAAGCAATATGAGAGAATAAGGACTAGCTGAAATGAAATCCTTTACTTGTTTGATCAGCAAAGTAGAAAAGTATGCTAGTAACCAGTGCAAATAACTTCCTCGGTGTGCTAGGTCAAGATGTTCTCCTATGGTTTTACTCTACCTGAAACTGATTTTTTAATGAAGTAACTATTGCTATTTTTCGTTAAATACAGGGCTCTTTTGGAGGAAGCAACTACCATGGTGGACAGGTAAGTAAGCATTTTTTTGTTTGTTTGTTTCTCATTTATACAGATTAGATAAGTAAGTGTGGCTCAGTTTTGCAACGTTTTCCCAGAAGCAATTGAATACTGAGCTTAGTCACAGAAATAGGAACAGTGCTTTCCATAAAGTGTATCTGGCTTTTTATTAAATCAGTCCCTTTACATTTCTGTTATATTTTTTTATAAATATCTGTTGACTTGATTGAAAACAAAATTTTAGTAGTAGGCAAAACTGTAGTTTTAGAAGCCTGCTTACTTTGAAAAAGTAATTGAAATAATATTTCACAGGGTTCATCTCTTTGCATAAACCATTAATATGGTGTGTTGATTAAAGAGCTATTTGCCCCTCCGTTAATGACTATGTAATGTTCTTCTGGTTAATTGGTGCTGTAAATATTTGTTAGATTAGGTTTAACTTTTTGGTGCCAGGTAGTATTAAAAAGAAAAGAAAAAAAAAAAAGGCCTAACAAAAGGTGTGAGTTTCACATTTCTTTTACAGGGTTCTTCTTATTCTGGAAGCAATCAGTATGGAGGACAGGCAAGCAACTCCTCTTTCAAAATGTTCTTCCTACCTGTTACTTATTAAATGAAAAATATTATGCTGTGCATTTAACTGCCAGAAAGTTTTTCAGTCAGTCATTTTATGCTCACTAGGTGTCTGAAAGCAGGGACTGTTAGTAACAAACATGAAATAGTGCTGATAAACTTTAATGAAAAGTGACTCTATAGATTGCAATTTCAGTTGTTTAACTCTGGAGTGCTACTTTAAGTGATAATTTAAATATCCATTTTCATGTTTCATTTTCACATGGCTATAGCACCAAATTCAAAAGCTATTTTCTGTGTTATTTTTCAATTGTATTAATTAGTAATAATTTTTGCATTTGTTTAGATTTAATACACAGAAATATGATGCAAAACAGACCAATATACGTTGCTTTAAAAATAGAAATTTGTGTGTGTTCCCCATAATAATAATACTTTGCTCATCTTCAGCTGCAATTCAAATCTCTTACTGTAAGCATCTCCTTATATATCTTTTGTGGCTTAGTAGTTTGTCACAGAATGAGAAGTTTTACTGCCCCAAATAGGCATCCATTATATTTGTTAGCTACCTAATAAGAAATTGGAATATATTTTCCATTGATACTACTGTGATTCCAGAGTTTCATCCAATGATACTAAAAAATAGTCCAATTTCATTTTTCTTCTTCATTGCTTATTTGAAATAATTAGGAAAAAAATCCACACAAAGTTCTCTGAATGCACACCTCACCTAGGAGAGATTCACAGATAAAATAGAATTTCTCTTCCCTTGCAAAGAACCATCCAGAAGGATGCTTTATGTCCAGATATTTCTCAAAGACTACTCTTAGCAGATCTTTGTGATTGCCAAATGTACTACTTTCAGCTGTTCAGCAATATAGAAGAATTATGTCAGAAGTGATTCATTGCATCTTCTTAGATTAATACACTTTCCACATTCCTGCTGTTATCTCAGTCACAAGGTCTTCCTGTGATGTTTCATTCTGTGCAGCAGAGAAGAGTAACCATTGTTATTCTGCAAATACTTAAGTTTCCTCTGGTTTTGTGGTGTTTTTTTTTCTTCTCTTCTTAATAGGGATCTTCTTACTCAGGAAGCAGCCAGTATGGTGGGCAGGTAAGTGAATTCTCTTCCCATCACTCCTAATGCTTTTTGTTTACCGTCTGAGTCAGTTATTTGATGCTGAAATCTGTATTCATTTTCCTGAGCCTCTGAGATAAATGGATATTAAAAATTTGATTAAAGTAGTTTAAGCAAGTTGAATAAAGTAATTGGTTAGAATCAATTGATTGCTCCTCTGTGTAAAGCATTTCTTTCAAGCAGTGTTTCAAAACACTGCTTTCTTGATTCAGAATTATATATTGCTGTTGTTTTGATGTGTAGTGGATAGCTGTAGCTTTAAGTATCCCAATCATATTTTGTTCAAACAGCAGTCAAATTAGTTTGTGCTAAGTATGGCACATGTCTGAATGGCCTGAAGATGGTGATAAAATGTTTTGTATTCTAATAAAAGGTGTTTTATTTTTTTCTTACAGGGCTCATCATATTCTGGAGGCCGACAACATGGTAAACCAGTAAGTAAAAACTTGTCAAGTTTGCCTTATATTTTTCTCATAAGAAAAGTATTTAGTCATCATTTTACTCTGTAAGTGGACTTCTTCTGTCATTCTCTAAATTTCTTTTTTAGTAATTACAGAATGAGATCTTTAGTTAATAAGACACTTCTTCAGAACAGTTATTTCTGTTTAAATTCAGCAATCTTTGAATTCATTCAGTAAACTTTGTGTTCACTTTTTCAATTATTTCATATGCATTTGTCTTTGTGAGTATTCCTGCCTTTCTTGGGAAAAAGTATTTTCTTTTAGAAGGTCATAATAGTTGCTACTTTATTACATGTATATTCATATTTTCATTTTAAGCTTTTCAACCACTTAATTTAGATCTTGTCATTGTGTGGTAGGAGATGCAAAGAGTTAGCTTTTCTTATAGAAAGTAAGATACATCCACCTGTTGGTTAACATGGGGACACAATGGCTACATTTTATTCCACCTGAATCACAAAGGGGAGACATCTTGTGTACCATATGAGATGGCATTTCTTACAAGTCAGTGGTTGTGAGATTTTGTGTTGGCAGTTTTATTCAAATAAGCAGAACTGCTTCACCAGAAAACTTGTTAAGACCCTTGCAGAATATCTAGCTTTTCAGAATTCACTTTTTTTTTCCAGTTAGATTCCTTCTTAAAGCTTTCTTCAAGCAGAACTGGAGCACAATGCTAATGTTAAATGCCTGAGAAAACCAGATAATAAATTAAAATTGGAAAATATTGTTTAATCTTGAACCTTAGGATGAAGATGTTTTCATTCTTCCCTCTAGCAAAGATATCTCTGTACTTGTTTGAATAAATTTGATTGGATAATTTTATTACAAATGATATATTTCAATATTAGGGTAACTATTTCAGTTTCAAATTGTGTAGTTCAGCCAGAATGATGCATTGCTTTGCAAATCCTCTGAAACTGCTAATAGAATTAAAAACAGGGTAGCTGTACTTATATGATACCATTCACTTGAAAAAAGCTGCAAGGAAAAATGTAAAATGAAAATCAGTAACAAAACTAGGGCATTTTCAAGGCTAATGTGTGTTCTTCAAACACAGCTCATGAGGAGTCTATTACAATAGAACTAAATGGCTTATTATTATTACTTTACAGGGATTCTCAGGAAGCACTTATTCTGGAAAGCAGGTAAGAAAGCTTTCATCACAGTGTTTTCTTCTTTTCTTGGTAAACAAAGAACCTAATAGATAGATGGTTCATAGAGCAATTTATGAGTGCTTTGGTATGCAGATAACATCGTATATTAGCTCCTTCTGGATTAAACAATATTTAAACAAGCTGCTGTGAAAAATATGGCCTTAACTTGGGAAAACTATTTGAGTATCCGTTATATTCTAAGTCTGAATCTGTCTTGCTTTACATTGTGATTTGTGGCCCCATTACATTTTGCTGGCCTCCAATTTTAAATTCCTATTCTCTAAGTAGATTTTGTAGGCCCTGCTCTGTTAATCCTTCACTGTTGTTTCTATTTTATTTTTTTAATAAACCAGATTCTTGAGTCTTGCAATGACATTCCACTTATTCCTCCCCCACACTTTTTAATTTCAAGTATAAGACAGGATGAAGAGAGTGTGTAACTACAGTGTGTACTTTACCTGTCTAAACCTACTGCCTTCTTAAACAGCTTAAACTATGCTCTGGGTTAAGTTGTTAAAATTTTATTGATTATGGACAAAACTGTGTCTTCAGAAACACAGAGTGGTAATGCTTCTAGATTTCCTTACTTGTTATTTGTTTGTTTGCAGCAACCACCTTCCTCAGGGGGTAGTCAAGTGGTAAGCTTTTTCTGCTGGTGTCTTCATACTTGTATTGTAGAAAAATTAAAGTATTGTTTATATTTGTGAAGTATCTGTCAAATTTCCTGTATGTGAGTAAGTATTTTAGAATATGTGAGCATGTGGGAGGGCTGCTCCAAAAGTAGTGCCTCCTATTTAATTATGTTGGCCCTTGATGTTGGAGGCAGTGTTGGTGGTATGGCAGTAGAGGGTTGAACCTTCCCAAAAATATTCTGTCACATTTTATTGCCATGTTACAGATGGCAGCAGAGGGACAGCCTGACAGAATGGTGTCTGCCATGAAAGTACATAGGAAACAAAAGTGAATTTCTCCATGAGGAAAAAATGGCACACACAAACAATTGTTGACACTTGCTGAACATTCATGGAGACTTTTATTGTTGACTTTTATTGTCAGAAGTATCTACGTAATAGAAGGGTGTAACAAGATTTTTTAAAAACCGACTTGTTTTTAGTAATAGTAATGAATAGATCTGTTTTGAATTTGGCTTATCGTGCTTGTTCTCTGCTTTTATAGAGCTCTGCTGGGAAACACTCCAGTCCCCAACTCCTGCTGTTGTTTAGCATTTTGAGTGCCTTCGCACTCTCTGCTGTTACATCAAAGTGGTCTATGTGAACATCAGAAGATGTGCTCGACATCCTGGACGTGGATTATATGCAGTAATATTAGATTAATTACTTAATGTCAGGGGAACAAAAAAAAAAAAAAACAAAAACACCACCACGCAGTCAAACTGTCAGATGTTACTTGGGCTATCATGTTCCATGTCTGGTTACTATGTCATATCTTTCATTAGTTTCTTTGGGTTTAGTCATTAGTAGATATCATTACTTTTGTCAGTGTTCTAAGCACCATTTTAAGAGAGCGTATTGTACCCTAGCTATATGATTTCATTAAATTATTTTTATGTCCAGTGGAAAATGTGATGAACACCTACCTGAAAACTGATTGGTGTGAGAAACAGTTGTTTAGAAAATACTTGGTTAGTAACCAACACAGAATGTCAGACAAATGGTTTTATTTGCAAAACTTAATTTGAGCACTGTCACTGCCCCTTGCTGCATACAATAAAGATGACCTCTAACTTCTCGTGAGCAATCCTACATGGGATGGCAAAAAGGATGCTAAAATAATATCATACTGTCGGCTTTAGTGGAATGTAAACAAATTCATACCCAACATGGAGGTTGCACAGCAAAAAAAAAGCCTCAATACGATCTTCACCATTTGGTTGACAGTTGTTTCTTTGGTCTACGCACTAACGTTTTTTTAATTTAAGCGTCCGCTCTGAACCGGCATTGCACTTCTTTAATAAACCGATGCTGGCTTTCACACGAACCCCCCGCGTCCCCCGCAGCTGCAGCGGCGCCCACGCAAAGGACCCTCGGCGGAAGCGCTCCCGTGCGTTTCGATCCGCGTTGCTAGGTGGCCGCTGCGCTGGCGGCGGGCCGCGAAGGGCGGCTGCGGCGCTGCTCCCGCCCTGCGCGCGGGCTCTGCCCTCCCGCGCTCCGCTGGAGCGGCTCGGGTCCGGGTGGGAGGCACGCCGCGGCCCTGGGAACGGAGCGGGCGGGGCCACGGCTGCAGCCGGAGCCTTTGCGGGACGGCACCCGGAAACGCCCGGTAGCTGCGGCGAGCCGGGCCGGCGGTGAGGGGCGAGCTGGGAGCCGGCTGGGCCGCGGGTGGGAGGTTCGGTCAGGGAACGGCGGCGGAAGCCCGGCCGGGCCGACTTGCGCGGGTCTGGGGGCAGAGGCCTGAGGGAGGCCTGGGGTGCGTGGAAGCGGGAGGCGTCTGGGCCGGGGGGTGAATGGAAAGCGGGCTGTTGGGAGGGCTGGGGCCGGACGGGGTGAGAGAGGGGAACAGCGGGACGGAGGGGGAGACCGGGAGGTGTCAGTGAGCGGCACGGCCTGGGCGGGAGGGCGGGAGCAGGAAGGTGGGGCTGTGTGGAGGCAGCTGGCCGCGGGGCGGGGCGGCTCACCTGCCCGGCTCCTTACGGTGCAGCGGGGCGGGAGAGCTGCGCGCTCAGGTGTGTGCGTGGCATCGCGCTGGGAGTTTGACTTGAGAAAGGCTTCAGCGGTACAAAGCTCAGGGCTCAATTAAAAAAAAAAAAAAAACAACAACAACAAAAATGCTAAAGTAATGAATGAGATCTGTGTTATGAAATAGAATGGAAGGTGGAAGATAAACCCCAAAAGGTACTAACTGCAAGTTGTGTCGTATTTTAGTGAATTCTGTAAAGTATGTTGTAAGCGTGACAAACAGGTGGAAGCCAGAGCAGAGTTTTGCAAACTGATTTGGTAGAATTCTAGAGATTGAAGCTGCTTTCTACAGTGGAGGGCTGTGTTATCTGAGGTGTAAGCAGTGTATGCAACAAACTTCTACAAAGGAGCACCAGAGTGGGAAGCTGGGCTGGTACAGTGCCTCTGTGTAGAAGGATTGGGATCAAAGGTAACCCTTACTTCTCAGAGAACTGCTGTGCAGGCTGATAGAGTGGGCTTGGGAACAAACAGTCAATTGATAGACTGCTTCATCTAAAATCCATGGGGCTGCCCTTCTTCACGGGCACTGCACATTGCTGTTGGCATGTGCTGCAGTGCCTGTGGGCCTCACCTATTCAATTGTTCCCAGCAGAGAACTCCATAAAAGCTGTAGCTGTGTAGACATCTGCTGGAGCAGCCTGGCCTGATGACTTCTATTGGGCTTGGTTGTAGCTCAATAATACGCACTTTTCTTTTACATAGGAATAAGCAGCACCATATAATTTTTACAGGCTGTAGCGTATTAAGCACAGGATAGCTGTTGATAAACTGATTTGCAATAATCTGTTCCTTCAGAAAACTGTAATTTTTTGTTCCATTACGTATTGTTAGGCATTATGTGAACTTGTGGTAAGAGTTACAGTTCTGGGAGACATGGATTTGCTGGTTTTGGGTGTGTGGTGTTCAGATGCATGGAAGCAGAATGTGCAGTGAAAATGCAGGTTTGAGAACAGACTGTGGTAGTAGCAAGTATAAATTTGATTTATTTAGAGCAGTGTATTGTTTGAAGCTGCTCTATGTCCATTACAGGCTGCCTGTATGGCCTAATTCCTTGTCTTGGTTATCACACAATCACAAAGGTTGGAGGTGTGGGACCTCTGGGGTCATTGAGTCCAACCCTCTGCTGAAGCAAGAGGGTACTGTACTCCCTACAGTAGGTTGCATAGGAAGGTGCCCAGGTGGGTTTTGAATATCTCCAGAAAAGGAGACTCCTCTGTCATTCAAGGTAAAGAAGCTTTTCCTCATGTTTATATGGAACTTCTTGTGTTCCAGTTTGTGCTTGTTGCCCCTAGTTCTGTTGCTTGGCACCACTGAAAAGAGCCTGGCCCTATCCACCTGGAAACCCACCCTGTAGATATTTATAAGCATTGGTAAGATCTCCCCTTGATCTTCCTTTCCAGGCTGAACAGCCCCAGGTCTCTCAGCCTTTCTTCATGCTTGAGACGCTCCATGCTCCTAATCAGCTACCTAGGTGAACGAAATCACTTGTCTGCTTAAAATAGTTCAGGTTTTGGCTTTGTTAAATGAGGACAATGCATTCTTGATCTTTGGGATGGGTTTGCTTGATGTATCTTCTTCTCTCTTATTGTTCTTCAATTGCTTGCCACCATGGCTTATTCTTCATCAGTTACCTCAGTTTGTGCCTGTATGTGTGGTGCTTCCCACGGGCTCAGTGCCCCAACTGGAGCTCAGGGATCTGCACAGTTAGCTTGGGGGGAGGGGGATTCTTAAGACGTGTACCTCTTAGGAACCAGCTTAAGAATGTAAGACGGACAAGAGATTGGAGTTTTTCCGTTTGAAAATTTCTACCTTCTTGTCTTCTGCTCAGACCCTTTCTGTTCACTGTTTAGCTGTCTAAACTTATTTGTAATGACTGGCTTTCTGCAAGAACTCTACAGACCTGTTTTCACTCTGTACTCAAGCTATGTGGCTGTGTCTGGAGGTGGCTACATTGCCTGTAGCACACAAAATCACAGATCACAGAATCATAGGATGGTTTGGGTTGGAAAGAACAATCATGATCACATAGTTTCAACCCCCTTGCTATGTGCAAGGTCATCAGCCTCTAGACCAGGCTGCCCAGAGCCACATCCAGCCTGGCCTTGAATGCCCCCAGGGATGGGGCATCCACAACCTCCTTGGGCAGCCTGTTCCAGTGTGTCACCACCCTCTGTGTGAAAAACTTTCTCCTAATATCCAACCTAAACCTCCCCTGTCTCAGTTTAAAACCATTCCCCCTTGTCCTATCACTATCCTCCCTCGTAAACAGCCTTTCCCCCTCCAGTTTGGATGTTCCTTTCAAATATTGGGAGGCCACAGTGAGGTCTTCCTGGACCCTTCTCTTCTCCAAGCTAAACAATCCCAGTTCTCTCACCCTTTCCTCATAAGAGAGGTGCTCCAGCCCTCTGACCGTCTTAGTGGCCCTCCTCTGGACCTGCTCCAAGAGCTCCATGTCTTTCGTGTACTGGGGGCCCCAGGCCTGGACACACTACTGCAGATGGGGCCTCACAAGAGCAGAGTAGAGGGGGACAATCACCTCCCTCTCCCTGCTGGCCACCCCTTTTTAAATGCAGCCCAGAACACAGTTGGCTTTCCGGGCTGCAAGCGCACACTGCTGGCTCATGTCCAGCTTCTTGTCCACCAGGACCCCCAAGTCCTTCTCTGCAGGCTGCTCTCGGGGTTCTTCTCCCAGTTTGTGTAAATACCAGGAATTGTCCCAAACCTGGTTAGTGATTCAGAAATAACTGAACTGTGAGCTGCAGTTGAACCCCAGCAGTACTAGGCACTCACTCTCAGCACCTCACATTGAGCCATGCCACTGCCTTGGAGCGTCTGCAGGAGCTGCAGCAGAGCAGCGCCTGGCTCATCTCAGCCTGATGCTGCACTCCTGTGCTTGCAGAAGAATCAGGACTTGAGCTAAAACCCAGAACTGAATGGCTTCTTGCACGCTACCTGGATCTTTCCATACTGTGATCTGTACAATGAATGCAGTGTGTGTACTGTTTGAAAAAGAGAGGCAGGTTGTATCAAATTTCTGTGCTGGCAGGCAGGCGCTGACGTAATAGCCTAAGTCAATATAAAACTATTGCTCTACTGTGCACATATAAGAACTCATTTATCTTATAGGCAGTACTGATGTTAGGTTTAGTTCAGTGAGGGCCTGCATTCTTGGAGCACTGAATGTTTATGCTCAGTATGTGATTTATTTAACACTCATCTAATTAAATTCTCGTCAATCCAAGAAAATCGTATATCTGGGTGCTTAGCTTTGCTGTGAAGGATGAAGTTTGTGTTGGTTGGAGTTCCTGTTAGTTTTGTTGTTGTTGTTGTTGTTTACTGGCAGATACAGAGGGGTTAAAGAGTATTTAGCCACAGTGAAGATTTTTATTACATTTAAGATTCATAATTCCCAACTTTGCTTTTTTATACATAGATTAGAATTGTAACTTTTTTTCCATACAAAAATAAAACAAAAATTCTTCTGTAGGGCGTCCAAAAAAATCAGCATTTCAGTACAAATTGAAGAAAACTTGACCTGAATCCCAACTTATTTGTTGAAGCACTATCTGGAAACAAGTGTTAATATGTAATTGCATCTTCCTTGTTGGACTTGGCAATGTCAGTTTTCTGTCGGTGAATCACTGGTACAGCTTTCCAGGGTCCTTTGCTCCTGACCTTAACCAAAGTTAAGAAGAAATCACTGGTTGGTCTTCAGCAGTTACATTTTAATGTGTAACCCATCTGCTCTTGCTGATGTTAAAAGGTCTCAGTGTGGTTGTTGAAAGCCAGGGTTCAGAGTTCTGTCAATGTTCTGCTGTGTCATACTCGACGTATTCTTCTCATCAAATATTATTTGAATACAGAATACTTTTTTATTTTCACAAGATTCCTTTAAATGTAAATTGAGAAATTGAAAATGCTACTGTATGAAACCTTCCTTTGAGAGAGAGAAGAAAGAAAACAAGAAGATTGTTACTTTCTGTTAGAAAAGACAGGAGAAAACTGCGCTGGTGCATTTAGATTTTGTAACGCCTAAAAAGAAAAATAGTACACGTTGTAAGCTATCAAGCAAGGAGAATGAGTAACAAACTGAAACGCAAGAGAAAGAGCAGGGTAAGTATTAAAATGAGGTGTTTTGCAGTGGTTTAGTTGAAAAGTGGTATGCGTGTGGGAAGGGAGCTGACAGTTACAGTTTACTTATGGGGGGAACAGTAGAGAAACCCATACCTGGTGTGAGGAAGATGGAAAACGGTGTCAAAAAGTGAGAGGGTGTGGGGTTCATACAAAGCTTTACAGCGTTATTAATTTTAATGGAACGTTGACTGATGTGTGAAGGATTTATGTATTTGGAGCAAAAGGGAAAATAGAAGTGCACTGTTGAATGATAGAGGTTAAATATTTGTGTGTGTGAAATCCTGTTCAGAAACCAGTTGAGCAGCACTCAGTAGATTCTGAATGGTCTTTGCACCCTCTGCTTCATCTGGGATATTTATTTCCATACGTAAAATATTTGTTGCAGAAGCTGTAGATGTAGATGTAAAGAAGATCATGTTGGCTTCTGAAAAAAAGATGTATGGGAGTAGAATTTCCCTCTGAGAAGTACAGCTGTGTTACAGAAAGCTGCACTTTACATGTGTTGTCAGCACTGACAAGAAGGCACTGCACTACTAAAGCATAGAAGGCAGAGTTTTAGGGGGAAAACAAAACAACAACAACAAAAAAACGCCCATATTTTCTTCAGGTTTTGTGAGGTGGCTCTTACCCCACCTTCCTCTTGTGCTTTTCCTCTTTGTTGACGTCTTATTATATTTGTGTGGGAGTAGTATTGGTATTGGGTTCAAATTTCTTCTGGGAATGCAGTCCAGTTTCTTTAATCTGCTATCCTGATTTCAGAGAATGTGCCAGAATGTGTCCATGCCTGTTTCACCAGGGCGAGCTCATGGACTCTGCGCTGAGTCTGCCTTACAGAAGGAAGGGTCGGCGGTCGCTTTCTGGCAGGTCCTAGGCATGGAACTTGTGCAGTGGCATACACAACTTCATGAGCTTTGCATTTTTAAGAGTCTGGTTGTCTCATTCTGCTCAGCATTCTGTTGTATTGTAAATAAAGTGTCAGTGCTGTTTGTTTGGTTAGGCAACCTTAAACTCACTCATAGTAAAGTGGATAAGAGCAAACCGTAGCAGTAACTTCTGTGCTGAGGGATTCTCAGCATGAAAATAAATGCTTTACAGGTGGGCTGGGAAGAATGCAGTCTGTGTAGTGCCGTCACTGAGAACATGAGAAGCATAAGAATCCATAGGATTTTTTGTGTGTGTTTTCAGATTTAACTTGCCTGGTGTAAGGGTAGGGAGGAGTCAAGAACTAGCTGCTGGTAGAAACTATGATATATAGTAGTATATATATTATATGTATATTAGTATATACTTTTGAAGTTCCAGAAATGCAGTGAAAATTAAATTTAATGAAGTTAATTAAAAGTGAGCCAGGTATGGTGACTGCTTTCTAGTATTTCAGGTAGTTCATGAAATAGAATGTGGAACATTAGATAACTTGGGACACTGAGAGAACTTTGACGATAGAAAAATAGAACCTGAAGTGTGAAATGTTAGCCTGTTGTGGAAAGTTACTGAAGGAAATAGAAACCTGCAAATCAGAAATTCATTCATTCTGTCTGAATTAATGGTACGAAGTGGAAACTGCTGATTTTTCACTTTAAAAAAATCTGCTTCCTTTTAAAAGACATTTTTAAAGCTTCATGCAGTGTGATCTTTTTATGAGCTGAATACTTACAGTACCGATTTTTGTTAAATCATTTGCTCGTGCTGTAAATCCTTTTCCTGATCTTTCCCCCTTACATTTGAGAGGAGAACAGCTCTTTGTGGAGCATCTTTCTGCACTCTGCCTCTGCCCATTGGTGCAGAGCACAGCACCCTCAGTGACTTGCCACACAGGCTGCCCTTGGCCTCTTCCCCTGTGTTCCACGTTGCTGTAGGGTGCGTCTCAAGGCATACCAATTAAACTACATAGAAGCAGTTCCTTTTCTTTTTTCTTTTACCTGGACTAATAAATGGAAGATAAGGAACCCAGTAAGGCCTGAGAAATACTGTGACAGCTGGACTCCCAGCCTTTGAACTAGCAGGTGTAAATTGATTTTGTGGCCTGCGGAGCGCTGGGTAGTTTGTCCAAAGGCAGGCAAGCAATCAGTCAGGAGGAGTGACTGTGTACAAGCAGTGTGCTGGGAACTTTCATCTCGTTATTGATTTAAGACTGTCAGGGTGTGGACTGTTACTGAAGACAGTGTTTAACTCAGTTTATGACTGCACAGTCTGTTGCAATAAGGGTAGCAGGAGCTGGGTGAGTGTCTCACCTGCTAGCGATGTGTGAATCCAGCCCTGCTGTGGGCTGTTACAAAGTTCAGCTGTGTCAGGATCAGTACTTGGCTCCTCTTTGGGATCCAGTCCTCAGCTTGCACCAAGTTCTGTGAGCTACTATACAACCTTTAAAAAGAAGAGAGACAAGGATTGATGATAAGGTATTGTGTGTGCTCAGCAGAGGGCGGTAATTTTATTGGTGTGCGTAGGTTTCAGAAGTATGCAGTTCCTGCTTTGTGGAGCAATTAGCTTTAGTTCCACATGAAACTACTTGTTCTCTGCTAACGTGTCATGCTGACCACTGAGAAGAGAGCTTGTAATCTATGTTCATCTATGAAGCTGGACTCTTGATTTGCTTTGGTGAATTGCTGAAAAGGAATGTGTTCTGCTGCTGGTGCTTTTTAGAAATACATTGTCTGGCTTCAGAATGCAGCCCGGTGAATAGGACAAAGTGGATTTGTGGCTGTGTTGCTGGAAGCAAGATTAAATTGATAGTGTTACTGTGGGAGAAGTTCCTTTTTTTTTTTTTTTTTTTTTTTTTTTTTTTTTTTTTTTTTTTTTTTTAAATCATGATTACTGATCAAGAAAATACTATAGTTCAAGATGATGATTTGGTACGTGTTCCTAACGGTGGGTCTGTTACACTGCTGTGCATGTTGTTATGTTTCCTTACTGAATGTTTTGATAATTGCTCATGAGCAATGTAATGGTGATACACCTTCACACTGTAAGCATAAATAGATGGTTGTATGACAAGAAATGCACGTGTTAGTTTTTATTCTTGTGACCTATTTCAGTTAAGTTACTGAATTCTGAGTGCTGAGAAAGTCCTAAAATATTTTGTCACCTTACAGGCTCACAAAATGCAAATATTTTAGTCTAAGTTCAGCAAATATGTTCCCATTATCTGTATTTTGTTCAGAAGCATTTTGAAAAGTGAAAAGAAACATCTGTAAGTGTGCTTTTATGAGACTTTGTGTTAATCATCACTGTGTGTTCTTTCTGTATCCAGATTGTCAGGTCTCAATACTAAAAGACTGAGTAGATGGGATGGCTGGAAGAAATGGTGTGTTGGCATCTAAATGCTCATTTTGCTGTCAGCTTTCTCCTGTAGCACAGGTGGACCTTTGTATGAAGTTCTGTTGTGTCTTTTCACTTGGTGGATTTTTTTTCCCTTTTCTACCTCTGTATTCCCTGTTCTGTTGGCATTTCTCCAGGGTGAGAGCTCTGACCTTTCATGTCCCTCTACATCTCTTCAGGGAAACTGCTTCTGTTTCTCATCCTTGTTTGCAGCTATAGCAAATACCTGCTCCAAACGTGTTTCTCTTTGACCAAAAGATCTTCTTTTGGTTCTTGGGTGTGCATAATTTCAGTTATCTTCATGTAAAGGGTTATTCCATCAGAACCCATTATTTGGAAAAAGTTAGCAAATAGTGAGTTTTGGCTGCAGTTTGTTTCTCTGTCATCTTGATACTTCTGTCTGATTTATACTGTCCTCTGCACTTACAGTATTTGTTTGTTCAGTGAGGTAAATGAAGTCATGGTTATTATAAAAGCATCTTCTGTTAAGCTTCCTTAAGGGAATTATTGTGTATTGCTTCATCTGTTTCTGCATCCAGGCATCTTTTTCTTTCTCCTTTGCTAGTAAGCTTTTACAAATGTTTTTGCAGCCGTACCATTTCTGAAGTAAACAATTTTATTTGTTAGGATACAAGTGTATATTTCACATCTCAGTGACTTGGCAGTTAGTAGTTGTTGGCAGGTTACTGCAGTGTCTCTGAAATACTGATGTTACACAGATATTCTTGTGACCTTGTATGCTTGACTGGAGAAAATTCCCTGAAGCTTAGAGACAGGTTAGGGCAAGTCAGGAATATTTGAATGGCACTTCTCTACAGATCTCTGAAAAAATCCTTGTTGAACTAGAGAAGTGGTGTCAGTGAGGAAACGCTTTGTTTTCAGCTGCAGAGTAGTTAGAGGTATGAGCACGTGCTTCAGCAGTGGGTATAAAAGTGGGTAGTTAAGAGTCAAGCTCCGTGTACCTGTAGATGTGAAACATACATACCCAGGGACAGCTCTGGCATAGGCATCCAATATGTACTACGCACGTCAGCTTTGGGCTTCTGGAAATAAGAACTGCATGCAACATGTGGACTTGTTACTACTTCTCTTGAAATTACTGGTTTTCTTTTGCTTTGGCATTATAAAAACAGTGCTTGGTTTTGTGAATAAGTGGATAGGGAAGGCAGTAAGCTTTTTATGAAGAACATTTCTGTGTACGGGTTGTCTTTGTACTTAACATACATAAAGAACAGCAGAAAAGAATGATACAATGTTCTGAGTAGCAGTGGTAACATAGCCTTGTAACTTTGTCTCCAAAAGCAGCAATACTTTTAGTTTCTTGCATTTACTTGGTGTTAATTGGCAGCAAAGTGCAAAGGAAACCCTGTCAGGACAGCCCTGACTCACTCTTATTCTGATGCTGTATTATCTGACAAGGCAGAAATTGCAACCTGGAAAACTCTGGGGAGGTGGAAGAATGAGAAGCACTCCATTCTGGGGATAGCTTGTTGCTGTGGGAATACTGGGCATTCTGCAGTATGGGGCTTTTTATTTTTTATTCTGAAGATATCTTCTGAGCCTTCCTCTGTGTAAAGAGATCTGTGATTGGATTCACTTTAAAGATTCATTTTGTGGAACCAGTATTTGGAAAGGTAACTATAAGTTAGTAGTCCTTATTTGACTGTTTTGTTTTTCACAGATGAGAAATTAAAAGGAATATTTCTGTAGCTGCCACCTCGTCTAATGTCCAGATATGCTTTCCCATATTTAATCATGTATTTAAAAACATTTTTGAAGTGATAATCTCCTTTTTCTCTTGAAATATCAGATAATATTGGTTGTTTACCTTTGCTGGAGGGGTCTGTGGCTAACTTAATATGCTGATTCCAAATGAAAATGTCTATCTGCAGTATTAAATTTTAAGCCTGATTTGTTGTTTGTTTACTTGTTTTCTTTTTCAGGAAGAAAGTAATAAAGAAATGTCTACCAATTTAAAATACCTTTCCCTGGGCATCCTGGTTTTTCAGACCACAAGTTTGGTGTTGACAATGCGTTACTCTCGGACACTGAAAGAAGAAGGACCTCGTTACTTGTCCTCTACTGCAGTAGTTCTTGCTGAACTTCTGAAGATTCTGTCCTGTGTTCTACTGGTCTACAAAGACAGCAGTATGTACTCAGTTTTGCACCAAGTAATTTTCTTAATCAATATGCTGTATTGTAATGGGAACTGCAAGGCAGCCGTGTGAGTAGAGGCTGACAAAAAAAGCATTTTGCTTTCTCATAAAGAGACAGCCTTGGGAAGACTGTAGTCATACTTCACTTTTCAACACACCAATAGAATATTGCGTCTGCTGAAGCGAGTTCTCTTTAAATAACTGTGCATACTAAGGTGTGCGAGAATAAATTTTCTGCTAGCAGCTTGAAGCTGCTTTTTGCTCAGATATTTTAAGAAATTTATAAATAAAAGTAGGACAAAATGAAAAGCTGTGTGTCTGAAGCATGCATGTGTTGAAGCCTATAAATAAATCACACAGATACAGGAGGGAAATAGCAATTTAATTAATACAAAAAGAAGTGCAGTTTTAAGCTCAAAAGAAAAATTTGGATTTACTTTCATTCTGTACATTTTATACTGCATTTACCCAGTTCCTTGACATGTGCATTAGGTTTTCAACAGTTTAAAAATAACATTGCGTATTCATAAATGTTGATGATTCCGTAGGCTCCTGAACATCTGCATAGTAGGTGGTATCTTTAAGTTATCAGCTTCAAATATGACTGAATAAGTTTTATTTTAACATCAATTGAATAATTCACAGAATCATAGAATATCCCAAGTTGAAAGGGACATACAAGGATCATCAGGTCCAACTCCTGGTTCCACACAGGACCACCCAAAAATCAGCTTGTATGTCTGAGTGCACTGTCCACGTGCTTACTAAAACTCAGCAAGCTTAGTTCCACAGCCACTTCCCGAGGTAGCTTGTTCTAGTTCTGCTATTCCAGACTACACCAAGACTTTTTTCAGGTTTATGAAAGACAATTATTCTGTAGTATTTTGGGTTTGTGATAGCAGTGATAGATATAGAAAGGGGGAAATTATTAGTGTTGGAGAACAGTACTTTGCTCTTTATTTTTTTCTTTTCTCCATTTAGTCTACAAGTCTATTTCTGTGTTTCTTTGGTAGAGTGCAATTTACGGACCCTGAACAGAGTGCTGCATGATGAAATTCTTAATAAGCCCATGGAAACTCTTAAACTTGCCATTCCTTCAGGAATTTACACTCTTCAGAATAACTTGCTCTATGTAGCATTGTCAAACCTAGATGCAGCCACATATCAGGTACTGTACATCTGGATTGCTCTGTAAGTTTCAAAAACCAAACATGAATTATGTGGTAATAAGTGCTTCTGGTTCTTTTAGGTTACATATCAACTGAAAATTCTTACCACGGCACTATTTTCCGTGTCCATGTTAAGCAAGAAATTGGGTATATACCAGTGGCTGTCGTTGGTAATTTTAATGACAGGAGTGGCATTTGTGCAGGTAAATAAGTGCAGTGTGTGTTTGCTCAAGGAACGTGCATTTGTATACTGATTGTACAGCTTCCTGATTGTGCAGCTTCCTGGTCGTATCAGCTGCACACTGGTACTGGAGTACAGCAGAAGCTACAAAGCCACAACTGGCCATGGCTGGAGGACACCAAAAATGGTTCAAAAGCAAGAGATAAGAGCTCTTCTTGAGTTCTCGTGCCTCTGGATTGGCCTGAAAATAGCAGTTATAAAAGTATTTGTAGTGCACTTCTGACATTAGTTTGTATTCACAGATCTTCTCTGATGGCACAGTCCTGCTGCTCACTTTATGATGTATGGTTTCAGCATGACAAATTGACTTAAATTTTTTCAAGAGCAAGATCTTTTGTAAATAATGGGAGGTATAGGAATTTGTAGTTTTTAGAGTGACTGTGGGATAAGAGATTAAGAGTTTTTAGCAGATTCTAGGGTATTCTAGAAATTTTTATTGTAAATCTTAAAGATGAAAAGAAAAACTAAGGATTAAATTTTATTGATTTTTTTCAATTTAATCACTAAAAATAAGAGCAAAACGTGCTGGCAGAAATTAACAGATCTTCAGTATGTTTTTTCTGTTGCACTACATTTTATTCTCTTAGCATTAGATACTTCACAACATCTAGCTTGTTTTAGTTGTATGCAAAATCATGAACAGACTCACATACCTACGACAGTTTATCACATCTTAAAGGCATCTGGGCTAAGTGGTGTCCTGACTTGCACTTGTGTATAGAGGAGGTAACCAACTGACAGATGGCAAAAGTCAATGACAGTGAATGACCAGATGAGTAGTGCTGGAATTCAGGGTTGGTGCTGGCTTATGCAATATGGCAGGTAAAATCCTAGGCCTGTTTAAGATGATGGATTTTATCCCAGGTGAGGCACAGCTGTGCTCCTTACAAGCATGTAGTAAGAAAAGTTGTGTCTTTGCAGTTCTTTAAAAGCATTGGTGATGCAAAATACAAAAGGTTGCATGATTGTCTGCATTTAGTAATTATTATTGTTGCTTAAAAAAATATCTTGCATTCTATAAATGCTCGTGACTTTATTCAAACTTATTGTTAAAATCACTGTTTTTACATCCAGTGGCCTTCAGACTCTCAAGCAACAGCTGCTAAGGAGCATTCAGCAGGATCTCAGTTTGTAGGCCTGATGGCAGTTCTTATAGCTTGCTTTTCTAGTGGATTTGCAGGCGTTTATTTTGAGAAAATTTTAAAGGAAACTAAGCAGTCTGTGTGGATAAGAAACATTCAGCTTGGTAAGTTTAATTTTAGTTATCTCTTAGAGCAGGAGTACTGCATTGTGATTTAAAGTAAATTTGCGGGACTATGAAATATCAAAAATGTAGTGGTCTGCATAAATGTGCTTAATAAATGAGTAGTACACAAGAGAATTCTAGGAATTGCTTTCTGCTGTCAACCTAGTTCTTGATTTAACTTTTTTATAGTGTTTGTAAGTTTGCATGGAATCTGTCAATTGATTTTTAGTTAATATGCTCTAAAGAATACTGTCTTGTGCAGATTTTGCGTGTCCTGTGTGTCTTTTGCACAGATTAATCAGATAAGTACATGTAGTATCCTTTCCTCCATATTTTTTCTTTTTTTTTTTTTTTTTTTTTTTTTTGGAAAGAGCAACATTAAACATGGAACATTAAAATAAAATATGTTCCTAAATAAATGCTTTGAGACCTATTTTAAAACAGAATTTTTTTTTTATCTTGCCTGGATAGGCAGTTTTTATAGGTTTGCAATTTTAATACAAGAAAAAAGCATGCATGTTTGTGAAAAAAGATGAGGTAATGAATTTATGATTATTTCAGTATGAAGATCAGTTTGTTTTAATTGTCTGAATAATCACCAAATAACTGTGTACGTATGTACAAATGTTCATCCTAACTTCTAATGTTCTTACCTAGTGTGCAGATATCAGTAAGGGAATACCTTCTCTTTCCAAAGTTGTTCTGTATCTTCTAGAGCCTAGATGTTAATGCAGCACAGTTAATTTCAAGAACACCTCAGTGTATCCTTCCTGTGAGTGCCAGATAGCTGCTCACTTTAGGCACCATCATTCAGGAGCAAGTGAATCCTAAGCAAGAGCTTTGAAATAGAGCTTTACTCAAAACAACAAAAAAAAACTTACATCAAACCTAATTTTCATTTTCATATGCTTAGAGATTGTAGAAAAAAACAGAAACAAAAGTTGGGTAGTTTTTTAAATATGTACCAATACCTCATTATTTTACCTCTATTTTAGCAGATCAATCAGGGAAAAAAAAAGGGAAGTAATTAGTTTATTGTGAATCAAATCTGAGCTTTTAATTACCTTTACAAAAAGAAGTATTTTGTGTCAAGCGGAAGGTGTTATTTCACTCAAAACAATGTCCTTCTTTTCAGACGGAAGGGAATGCAATGAAAATAGTGGTCAGCTTTTTACAGAATGGAGAGGAATAGAGCCTATTGTCTCCATCACTTTCATTCCTGTAGGGATTACAGAAAGTTTCCCTCCTAACAATAGAAAACCTAACAGTAGAAAACTCACTGAATTATAAACTTCTTGTGTTATCTCAGTTGCTTCTTTTGACATTACTGGTAAACTGAGTGAACTGATAAATCTCTTCATTCAGTAGAAAGCAATGAAAGATATGCATATGAAAAACTCCTAGTGGAGACAGACAGAACTTCTGATAAGTGTAGAAAATTGCTTTTTAAAAGAAATTATCTATCTGAACACTGATTGCATTTGGATGTGACGCTGCAAGTAGCATTCCTATTTTAAAATCGGATGTGTGTAAGCAGTCTGAGGACAGGAAACCTGACTGCATGTTTTTCACCTGAAACTTATAAATGAATTTTGTACTTCCAGGATTCTTTGGCAGCATTTTTGGTCTGATGGGTGTATATATATATGATGGAGAGCAGCTGTCCAAAAATGGATTTTTTCAAGGATATAATAAACTTACTTGGATAGTTGTTATTCTACAGGTAAGATATATTATGTTTCTGTCATTTGGAGATTTCCCTTCTGTAAATGGCTGGGGAAATTAATGAATGTAGGTGAAGCTACTGGGATGTCTATAGTCAAAAGTCTGATGTAGCACTGTTAGAAAAAGCTTCTAAATAAAAACTTGGAAATTCAGAGCAGGTATATGATTGTTGTGCAACATAAAATTTTGTAAATTATTTCATTTGCAATGCTTAAAAATATATACATATATTTTAAATACATACTTTCTCCCACAGCTAAAAATGTATAGTACAAATGTTTTCTGCTAATTTTAATCATGTTTTAATAATGTATTTAATAGTATGATAACTTCTCTACTGGGGAATAAAGTGGATTTATGTAACATAAAACAATTGTAACATTTCTAGACATAGACAGAGGCTTTTCCTAAAACACGACTGTTTTGTTAACGTAGATATTCTCAGTGGAATTATTGTGTTGCAAATCCAACCTTCAATATTTTTCAGGCACTTGGAGGCCTGGTGATTGCTGCTGTTATAAAGTATGCAGACAACATTTTAAAGGGATTTGCAACTTCTCTTTCTATTATACTTTCAACGTTGATCTCCTATTTCTGGCTTCAGGATTTTGTCCCCACGAGGTAAGAATTATTTTTCACATGTACAGAAGAAAGCGGTGATTGAAAACGTAATGCTTATCAGATATAACAGCAGCAATAAATAAATGAAAGGCAGCCTTACAAAATAGTTAGATTCAACTTCCACAGAAAATTTAGTTCCATAACATAACTAGTACTAAAATGTTGTACTATAGTTATCAAGATTAAGTTTTTTGTAAGATAGAGCTCCCACGGATAAGGAATAATTGAATCTCAAGTCTCAGCTTTTGACAGACCTCTCTCTTCCAGGCTCTATGTTCTTTTCTTTCCATCTGCTTTCCCTCAGTTTGTTAAGATTATTCCTCTTTATATCGGATGACTGCCTTGCACTGTGTTTCGCTCTGCTCTTGGAACCAGTTTCTCCCTGGCTGTCCCTGAGTAAGAGCTGAGACAAAGCGATTACTCTTGTTCATTAGTTGTCTCCTAAATTGACATATCTTCTACAAGTCACCTCATTGCAAGATGACTTATGACTGAACAACAGTAGTGATGATCATCTATTTATACTGCTCTTCATCTGCTCTCTAAACAGTCCCTAGAAGGTATTGTTCCAGTCACACGCAGAAAATTCTACTGCAGTGATTAGCAGGCACCCAGAAGCCCAAAACCAGGGTGTTTTTTTTTTTTTAATTTTTAATTTTTTTTTTTTTAACAATTCTTTATTAAAGACCTGACTAAGAAGGAGAGAAAAATGCTGTATGCTTCTAGGTGCAATACACCAAGTTTTGTGAACAGCATTTTAGGAGCTGTGTTTCGTACAAAGATACATTGTAGAGTGATTTTCTTCTTAAGGTATGGAGCGTAAAAGTAATATTCTAATTTTTAAATATATTAATAGGATTTTGCTTATAGTGAACATGAATTTATCACATATATACTACACATTCAAGGTATAAAAATATTTCTGATAAAAACTTTTTAACCAGAAGGAGTATGCACAATGTAAGCACGAGTTTGTTTAAACTTTCAAAAAAGGAACTAGAGTTAACTGTTGGGGCTTAAAAATGGGACATGTCAGACTTAAATTCTAAATAGCCTCCTATTAAAATAAATGTGGAAAGTGGTATAAGAAGTTCCGTGTGCTCAAATAGAAATTAATAAGTAACTTAGCTGCCTCTGCAAACGGTGAAAATAGAAATTGCTGAATAACTAAATGAAGGAGAGCCAACTCACAGGATGTAAAATTTGAATCCATCCCATTTAATAAAGCTTAATCTTTAGTATTTTCTTATGCCAACTGAATTTATGTGAACTTCCTAGTTGTTCCTCTCACTTGAACAAGCATTTTTGGTTGGGATAATAGATATAAAATGCTGAAGTGCTTTTGAAGGTCCTGCAGTAGATCATGTCTGAAGTAAGCAAACTGTATTCTCTGAAGTATTATCATGTAGAGTACCACAGTCTTTTTAGTGTTCAGAAAACCAGGTTGTCAGCGAGGTTCTTTTCTTTATGGTATACTGGTAACTACTGAAACAATTTGAAAGACCCCTTTGTGACGACACAAAGGGTGTCTATTATGTTTTTCTTATAAAAATACTCTCATAGCTGCCAAAACTGAGTATAGACTGACTTGCAACTGGTTCTTGGGCAGGAGAAACTAGTTTTAACACAAGTTTGGATTTCAAAGCTATGTTTAGCTCCAAAGGCATGATGTGTATCAAATATTAAAAACAGCTGAGTGGCTACAGTACTTGCACTTCTTTAGCTTCTGCTTGCATTTTGCATAGAGCTTTAGTCAAAAGGAATAGAAATGAAAAGTCAGTCTGATTACCTTTGACAGTTATTCCATGAAACTACGTTTAATTTTCAGAATGTCAGTATAATTATAGATTATTTTGCTTACCTGGATGCAGATAACAGATTTCAACTTCTTCCTGCATTCTTCCCCAAGAAATACGTGGACATTTTTCCATTATAAATGAGATGAATATAATTTATTCTTTCTATATTCCCACAGGTTTGATGTCCTTTCTTTGACTGTACTGCATACAATCACATTAACTAAAACCAGCTAACTTTTTATTTTTTTTCTTCCATTCCTATTCTATTCAGTGTCTTTTTCTTCGGAGCCATCCTTGTAATAGCAGCTACTTTCCTATATGGTTATGATCCCAAACCTGCAGGAAATCCCATTAAGGCATAGCTGACTACTTCAACCTGCTTCTCAAGATCATACACTGGGGGCCTTGCTAAAAATGGCATGTGGAAGGTGCCATTGTGCACTGCAAGGGAAGGATGACTACCCTGAATTGAGTGAAGAAATTTTTATGAGTAGTTTTGAACAGCCAAACGGGTTAAAGATGGATGATGATTCTGACTGGGACTGGTGGAAAAAATGACAGGGGAAAGCCCAGTGCAACTTGCTAATAAAGACTTGAAGTGAACAAAAAGTTTCCAAGAAACTGCAATTGGGAATGTTTACAGCTTTGACCTGGGATTGCATCAAAAGAATTTACTGTATTGACTGCTGCACTCTGTCCTATGCACTCTTTGAAAGAGCACACGACAACATTGTCAGATTGTATGTTTTTGCAATTTGACTATATTTAATGTTAGTACATGTTTTTAACTGTTTGTCTATTTACATGAAGTCGACTGAATGCACATCATAGTTCTAAAGTGATGGTTCTAATTAGGTATTCCTTATTAAAACTATGAAAATTGAAGTATGACTGAAAGACATTTTCACAATAACAAATATTTTTATATTTTAGAAGGCTGATTTAATAACAGAGATCTGTGTTCTGTTGCGTATATAAAGCTGTTGTAAGAATGTTAACATTCTCACCAGTACACAAAGGGAGAAACTGAGAATGAAAGCTGGAAATCTGTGTAGATACTCCAGCCATCGTGAGGATAACCTGTAGTGTTCCAGCAGATGCAATAACTCTGTGAGCACAGGACACAGTTTGCTGCAGTAATCTGGCACTATGAGGTGGGTTATAATGGAGTGCTTGCTGAGATGTTATGTTCACTGTTTTTTATTTTTATTGATCATAAATCAACTTATTGGTAGAACTTCTAAAGTAGAGTGTAGTGGGGTTTTTCGCTTTTTTTGTTTGTTTCTTTTTTTTTCTTTTTGCTTTAAATATCCCCTGAGGATGTTTCTTTACCTGCAATTAAAGAAAAAAAAAAAAAGCCCATAATAAATATTTTAAATGCATTGTTGTTGTCTGTTGCAGCTCCAGATTGAGCTATTGTGGTGTATTATCTCTGTACTGTACTGTATTTTTTGAGAGGCTTTTTTTTTTTTTTTTTTTTAGCAATTGTTTTTTACTTATGAACTCTCAAAGTCTGTCTCAGTACATTTGTATGTAATGGCGTAATTAGAGTTTTTTATTTTCATTATTATTATTAATTTTGTTTTGGGAGTCTTTGAGCTAACAGACCAAAATGGATTCTGTGGGGCTGTTCAGTCTAGTAGTGGAATTACTCTAAAAGGAAAGAGAATGAAAAAGTACCGAATTGTGCAATAGATAAATATAAAAGCATACTGTTCTTTTGTTTTCAACCAAAAGAAAAAACTCATGAAGAAACATATGCAGATCAAACATTTTGTTTGTTGAAGTACTTGCATGTAGCCAACTGAGAAAGAAACACACAAAAACAGTGCCAGAACAGTAAACAAACAAAGAAAAGGCTTAAAAATCACTTGGTTTTAGGAGACCTATTCACAATGGATATTAATGTAGGTGACTTCTTACCTATTCATTACATACTTGTATGTATGCATTGTACAAAAACATATCAGTGGTCCCTTCCCATTCAGTCAAGTGTTAAAAACCTTTGTTGTTGTTGTTGTTCTTTTTCCCTCTGCTCTATCTCACTTCTTTCTTGTGCTGATGAATATGATGTGAAGAGAGAGATGTTTCAAAACCTTTACCAAAGTACCTCCGTTCCTTTTCCACAACTACTCAGTCGTGGATTGCAAACAGAGGGATTCTCTAAGAGGACTATGAGACTTTTAATTAAATATTTAATTAACATTTAATTAAATATTGTAAAGAAAAAGGAAAAAAATCTACTTTTATCAGCCAAGTGAAAATAGTCTTTTCCTTTGTTGTTGATTACATGAATTATGTCTGTAGCATCAGAGCAAGACAGTGAAGAAATTTCAGAGTTATGCCAAGGGCTTACCAAGCTTTCTGAACTGTGAATCCCAGCATGCCATAATTGCAAGAGCTATGCTACTCAGTAGTTAAAATTGTCTAATGTTACCCTAAATTAGCATCCTACTTTACTAACCTTTCACCTATAATCCTCAATCTGCCTAAGTGAAAAATGACATTTAGTCCTGTCACCACTGAAGTGCAACGTGAGGTCAGATGTATGCAGAGCATTGCTTGGTGCAGGATGGGAGGTATGTGTGACCAAAACAATCTGACAAGTGTAGTAATATTTGGCCTACACAGCGATGATACTTTTAATTTCATGAATCACAAATCACAGTAATGGAAATGTTCAGGTCATATAACTGGATACTTTGTTGAGGAGTTTCTCAAGAATGAGGAGAAGCAAATTCAGAATGTAAAACCAATTGCATAGAAAGGGATCAAATAGGCCAAACGATTACACAGTTTTAATATATCAGGTGCATCAAGTTTGTCTTTAAGCATTAGCTTTTAGGAAGTAACAGGAATATGTGATCTTTGCTTTTGAATAGGATGTCATCTTACAGCCTTGGAAAACAATGTACGTACTGTATTAGGGATCAGTAATTTCTGTCTGTAGATCAAGAACTGTCAATTTCCAGTCCATTAAATTTCCTAGCAGAAGGGTAAATCTCTTTATACGTTTGTGACTGTAAAGGAGATAAGAGTTTGCAGTTTTAGCTGCCTTTCCTCAGCTGTTTACAGAGCCTGAGGGCCCTGCAGGCTGAAAAGCATTATTCTGGAGAGAGGGAAGGCTCTGCATGCTTCTTGTGATGGTGAAAGATTTGAGGAAGGTTGAAACTGCTACAGAAATCAATCAATCTGAGAGCGTAAGTGTGGTTTCCCTTTGGGGTACTTTTGGATCAGAGGAAAAAGAAGTTTTACTTCTGTCGTTCATTAACTAACCAAAGAAACTTAGCTAGTTGGCACAGAGCTCTGGGAAGCAGGGAGTAGCGTGCTTTGAGTCTGCCCTAAAAGTGGTCTGTAGGAGTATAACATTCCAGAAATGATCTTGTCTTTCTGATCTATGTTTCTGATTTTAAGACAATGGATTTTTTAGTTTAGTTGTATATTTAGGAGGCTAATCCATACTCAACAGAATTTTATTTAAATATTTATAATGTTATAATGAGGTATTTATTTGCATAATTTGAATTATGTCATTTTTAAAGGCTTACATAATGGGATTACCAGTATTTATTGAATTCTTGGATACTTAGTAGGGTTGTTTGTTTGTTTTAATCTCTGGGATACCTGATAAATGGTGAAATACCAGTCAGCTATTAGAACTCTCCTCAAAGCAAAATAAATCATCAGTTCAGTGGTGAAAACTCTTAAATCTAACATGGTAAGATAAACTTTCCTTTTGTAATATTTTCCATTGTAATTTTGTGCTGTCCACAAGTGCCCAGTTATCTCTTTCTCAAGGAATTCTGATAACTGTATAGTTTTATGAAAGTTCTTTGCTTTAGACAAACTGCAACATAAGTTACTTCTTTGTTTGCTTTAATAATAAAAGGTAGATTTGTGTTCTATTTCCTGCTTGTACAAAATAATACCTGTTTATACTATAACTTTTTAAGATATTTGTTTTACTTTTTTCTCAAAGAAATGATTATATTTTGTTAGCATATACTTATGTTTCAGTTATTCATGTGGTCCTTTTTCAGATTTTTAAGATCATATTATTGTTTTGTGTTCCTGACTTAGTTTTATGGCTCTAAATCGAGAGACTGTAATGGATTTTGTTGAACTGTTTTAATATTGATAAATGAGACTTTGCATTTCTTATGGTTTTTATTGTCAGTAACTTTCATCTTTTAATATATTTCCGTATCACCGTGTGTGTTGTGTTGTATATAAGCAATTGTCACTTACAGATTTGAAGTTGTTACTCGCTGTGCGTTTCTTGCTGGATATTATGAGGGAGACAGATGATTGTTGTTTCCTTCCTTTTGTAAGAATGAGATTATTGTAACAAGTTAGCTGTGTGTGCACAGACAGCTGTGTTTACCTGTAGCGTGGTGTGCCACCACATCTCTGGGAGTGTAAGAAAATCCAAGTGTACTCTTACTTCTGCTTTTATTGTGCTGTGCATTTTTAATGCTGATTTTTTATTTTTTTTTTTTTCCTACAGGAAGTTATTTGAACTAAAGAGTTCTTCTCTTTCCAGGTGAGCTCATTATATACTTTTAGGTATCTAGAATGAGGGTTTTTTTACTGGAAAAAATGCAAGAAGATAAATGGGACAAATTAGATGATAACTTCTGATCAGGTTACTGTGAATCCAAATTTCCTGTTCAGTTAAATTTATACCTTTACCTAATTATTTCCTGCTAGGTGAATTTATAACTGCAGGAGCAAAAAAAGTCTGCAGGTCAGTGTTCGTTCTTGACTGACTGCTGAATATTTGCATCCAGGAGTGGAATTTGGCCATGACATTTTTGATTTGTGCCTGTAGTCTTCCATTCTCATTTCCTTGGCAATTGATGGCTGAGTAAGAATCGCTTATGTGCTAAACATATTTCTTGTTGTAAGTAACTCTTCTATTAGCTTTCTGAAGTTTTCTTTCCTGTCAATGTATTTTAAGCAAAGTTTTAAATATATGAGCCCAAATATAAATCATGTATTCAGACTTTGTGGCAAAATTTTTAAGCTAGAGTTAGGATTTTTTTTGTATGTTGATCAGTGTGTAACTACACTGAATACAATTCTAATATATAGTGTTTCCAGCAGTTTTATACTTCGTATGAAAGGTTGAACAGTACAGTGCAGGTGTTTGGATGTAACAGTCAAAACTCTTGCTTCTTTTCTTCAGGAAACTAAATGTCTGTCAGGAGTTTGTCTCAGTTAATCCGTAGAAGAGTGAGTTGTGTCAGGACTTACATAGGAAAGTGAAGTTTGCAGTTTGAAGGTATGTGTCTGGCTGCGATTCACAACAGCAAAAGCAAGCTGTATTTATCTGAAGCTTATTCTAAATCTAGGAATTCTCTCTAAAGTCACCTGGTCAGTCTACACCAAGCAAACTTGGTGATTTTTATTTTATTTTTTGGGTAATGATATGGATAACAGAGGATGGTCTAATGACATGTATGAACGAAAAAACAGCTGCTTAATCAGTGTAGTCACAAAATGTCTATGCTGCCATCTAGTTGTGGTAACCTTTTTAACCTTTAATTTCCTCCATATGATGTGTTTGCATGTGACTTGCCCACCAAAATGTGGCAGCACTCTTTTCGAGGAGCCGCCTTGAAACCATGCCAAAATCTTAGGTCCCTATGGAGTGAACCATGGAGCATGGGATTTTTCTACAGAATGGTCGCATACTTAACATAATTTAATTAAGACGTGTAACAAATGTCTGATAATAGCAGTCTCTCCGTGGTGGACCAGTAAGTCTTCTCTGTGTATCTTGATCTGAATTGCTGCTTGCCTGTGTCTCCGTGTGAGACCAGAATAAATCCGTGGTTCTGAGGAGGGCTTTGCCTCATGGCATACCAAGATAAAAGCTGCATGATGCTTTATCTTAAGGCTAATGGTTTGTCTTAAGCCCAGATGAACTTAGGTGGCAGGTGATTTGCAGCCCTTTGCTAACACTGCCATGCTGTACCTGAGGGAGAGTGAGGGGCTGTGCTGAGTGGCAGTCAGCATCGCAGCCGCTGTGATGGGGATGGGGAGTGTAAGAACATGGTTGTGAGAGGAACCAGGCTGTTGTAGGAGCTGGGGATACAGCAATATGTGGAAATAGGGATGGAAGATGGAGGAATGAGTGGAGAAAGCGCTCCGTGGAAGAACACGGAGAAACACTGGTATGGGGACAGAGGCGCCGCAGAGAGCTGCACCTGGGTGTGTGCCTGTAGCAGAGTCGGTGTAGGCAGTGCTGTGTTTGTGCTGTCGGACACAAGCAGGTAGATGAGCTGTGGACCAGTAAATGCTGTAAAGAATAGCAGTAGGTGTTTCTCAACGATGTTCTCCAGCAGCGACCGTATCGCCCTGTGGAGGCCAAGCCCTGCCCACTCCGTGCTGGCAGCGTGCTGAGCTGGAGCCCGAGATAGCCTGCTGATTTACAGTTATTAAATCATTCGTAAGCAGAGTTAAGGACTTGACAGTGAGAATGCAGAATGCCTGCAGTC